GATAGAATAAAGTGATGTTAAAGATGGTATTTTGCAGAGGACCTCTCGAATTATAGGCAAAAGCTGGATATGAGTTCAGTGTTGACGAGGAGCTAGGCATATGTACAAGCTTAAAGACGATATGGTGGACAAGCATATACCCGGTTTTTGTTAGAAGTAGTCTGATCTGGATTTTGTTAATTCACTTGTCTCATTTAAACAGACACTTGCATACAACGATAAAAATGGGCTAGAATAACCAAAAATGATATGCAAATGCCACTATGAGAAACTACTCAATCGAATATATTCGCTGCGCCAGTTGAATCATCAGTCAGATATAAAGATGAACTGATATAAGGATCAAGATAATTCAGTCTAACCGATTCGGGCAGTCGGGCGGGCACTGGCAAAACTTTTCGCAGAAAGTTCCTGCCTGGCGACAGGAGCAGGTCTCATTGCAGCGTGTCGTACTCGGATGATCACAAGGATGATATTGATGCGCAAAGCAGCCGCTAGCAAGAACTCCTCCTCCTCCAGGGGCTCCTTGACCCGATTGTGTATCGTCTTCATCTGCAAGAGCATCTTTTAACCAGGTAAATTATAAATAAAGGTGATACTGACTAAAAATAAGCTATATTTTAACAGAAATATTCTAATAGAGTGAATCTAGGCTGTTTTTGATAGCAAAACCTGGTAAATAACTGAAGATATGAAGATCGGTCGCAGCCTCCTTTCGATTTATAGAAGTGGGTCAACCTAGTTGTCGCAACTTGGTCATGTTGCCAGGGCGACTTAGTAGGACGCACCTAGTCCAAATCGTCTGCCATAGTAGTTTTCATGATTCCCAGTATCAGACAGTGGACTTTGTACATTCTCAAATGTTTCGCCGGCATCGTAGTCTGCATCATCAGTGAATTTTGCCATTCTCCGCACCAAGTTACGAACTCGTCAAAGAGACAAGTGAAGTCAATCCCTTGACAAACGTTCTGCCGAAAAAGGTTAAACTATCACTCCTCTTTCTGTCATTGTCTATCTATCTATTCTTTATCATTTTATTCCAATGCCGCCCTATCATAACTTCTCACTTGTTTACACTCCACTCGTCCTTTTGTGCCCTTTTGTGGCAAATCTAGTGTGGCCTCGTCACACTTGCTATTCACCCCGACCCTTTCTCTTTCGATGGGCTCATCCGATTCGGGCCTCCAATCCGGATCCTTTCATTGTCTCGTAGATCCGTTCTGCATTTGTCTGATGCTGCGAATCGTGGCAGCTACTATAGCAGACGAATTCGGACTAGGTGCGTTCTACTAAGTCGCCCTGACAACAAGACCAAGTTGCGACAACGAAGTCAACCCCCTTCTATAAATTAAACGGAGATTGCGACCATACCAGAGGCCACAACATTTTGGTCTTCATATCTTAAATTAAACTACGGTAGTAAAATTGCCAAGCAATGACCTGAATACAGCCGGACAAAGAAGACAATTTTAAGTCAATCTTCCCATCTTAATTTTTCAAACTGTTGTAAACGTTATGACATCACTCCTAATTTCTGTGACCTTAAGAGATCCTACCACTCGGATAAGGTTAATGAGAATCCCCACCAGACTTCTATTTAGAAACTAAGTGAGACCTATGATACAGAACGGAATAAGTTGTTTAAATTAATAGATATTAAGTCAACGCTCCGGCGTGATCTGGTCAGGAGCATGTCTCCGGAAGATTTTCAAAAACCCCAGAGCATGACTGACTTGAAATTACATTGACTTAATAACAAAACGGCATGACGATAAATTGCGTAAGTTTGGGATTATAAGACAGTCTAATTTAAAGCCAGTATGCCCAGTTGAAGTGGGTTCCTATGTGACGCACCTACTGATCACGAGGATAGGAAGAAAGTACTAAACTTATCATCAATTACTCTCAATCCCGAAACAACCGCGTTCCTGAAAAAAGGACTTAATTTCTTAATTCAACATCACGGAAGCCTTCTAAGAGACAGCCTGGTAGAGGTTATCAATATCGACGACAAGTTCCCTGAGGAGACAAAAGGGGAAATGGAGATGAAACTAATTTCAAAGATCTTGACACATTAGGAGCCCACACACAGGAAAGGATTTACCGTGATACGCAAAACCCTGGAAACGAATGAACAATTAGTTCTTCAGGCGGACAAAGGAGGAGCTACAGTG